GGGGGGGGGTCGTGTGCTGCATTTTACATAAAACTCTTTGGTATTTAGCCCTGGGCATTTAAGCTCTGCGCCCTGTCTTCGCCCTCAATGATCCTAAATGGCCGTAAAGCTGATTCCTATGGCATTATACCTAGTATAAATATCTTGTTCCTTTAATAGGCTCCACTTATGGTCATTATCCACTTCAAGGACATGGATACCGAAATATCGCAACTCGAACCCGATGAAGAATGTCGGAAATATGGGCTTTCGGAAAGATCTGCTTATAATGTTGTGCGAGGCCATCCCTGGGACAAAGTACAAGCTATGCAGGCGAACGTCTGGTCTAGCGAAAATCCTCAAGGCCTGTATGTCAGATACTCATCCTGTCTATCGCTGCCTTTGTCAAAATACACCTTCTGAAAGTGGCCAGGATATCCCTTGGAGTCGCCGAGAATCCTCTCCTTCAACACGAGGTTGGTACATACATGAAGAACAGTGTGAGCACGCACGATGAGACCGAACTTCAAGTTCTAAAATTAACCATGAGACTAGATAGCTGTCACCGACAATGATCACCTAGGGTATGGGGTAGGCCCAAGAGGCTCGCCTCGTCTGAGGAAGGCACTCGCCTCCTTCTTCAACTTGGAATTCAGGTCACATGATCCCGTGAGAGCCAAAGATGTTCTAATCCTTCCTGGGGTTATGTCCGTACTTGATTCCTTGACTTGGTCGATCTGTAATGAAGGAGAAGGGATCATTGTCCCCCTGCCCTTCTACACAGGTTTCAATCCCGCGGTCCAAGAACGATCGAGAGGTGTTCTTATACAGGCACCTTTTCAATCGCTTGAGGGATATCAGAGCCTAGATGACGTCTTCAGTCCTGTGATAATCCAACAGTCTCTCGAGGGTGCTCTGCAGAAAGCTGCTTCTAACGGCGTGAAGATTCGGGCTGTTCTGATTTCCAAGTACGACCCTATCGTGTCCAAGAGCTCAATCCTATACGCAATATCCTGACAATCATGATGCTATTAGTCCCCACAATCCACTTGGCCGTTGCTATGTGAGAAGGCCACTTAATATCAGGTAATATTCGCTAACCTAAGTTACTAGCCCGCCGAAACGGTGAGAGAAATCGCCCGCTTTTGTGGCTCAAACAGCCTTCACTTGATCAGCGATGAGATCTTCGCCAAATCGGTATATGAAACCCTCGCGCTTCTGATGCGAGGCCATTTACATCAGTGACATCGCTCAATCTTAGCGATTTGATTGCTCCCCATCTAGTCCATGTGGCTTGCGGTGCAGGTAAAGACTTCTGTGCAAGTGGGCTTCGAACCGGAGTGCTGCTCTCCAGAAATAACGGCTTCGTATCCGCAGTCTCTAGCATTAGGCAAGATGCGCATTTTCCATCATCTCTCACGCGCAGGCTACCGTAGGTTGCTAACCATTTGTAGCGTATTCCAATGGGTACCATATCTCACACAAAATGCATGGGCAGAAATGCTTGAAGGTGATCATCTCTTAGCTGGATTCCATGCGAGAAATGCAAATATTCTGGGGCAGCATTGTGAAATCGCACAGGCGTTCTTAGAAGAGCACAAAATTCCGTATTACAGAAACGCGTAAGTTTACTACTCCTCGCCATGCATACACTTCACTGTTAAGTTGTGCTGAAAATTTGAAGCAATACCGGGACATTTCTGTGGATAGACCTCCGACGAATTTGCAGAGCAATGACAAGCAGCAAACTGGGTTGAATCTGTCAATTTCCAGGTCACCACTTCCAAACGTCGAGTCGTACCGACATCGCGAGAGCGAGCTTTGCAAACGTTGTTTTGAATTCCGTGTGGGGATTTCTCCAGGTAGCAGTTTCAGCACTGAATAGCTAGGTTGGTTTCGCAGCTGCTTCGCAGTCGAAAAGCAGGCTTTGTACATAAGTTTACAGAGGCTCCTAGAGTGCTTGAGGGCAATTGAGGCCGACAACTGGGAAGAACCCTAGAATCAGTCTCTGGATATAGGGTAGGCTTATATGTATGTAAGAGAAAAGAATAAAGTTTAACAGCAATGGAAGCTGCCAGGGCCCGACAACTATGCTATGGGGTAGGCTTATATTTATAAGGGTTTTAAATAAGTGGGCTAGTGGTCCCAGAGGTCAATATCTGAAATGTTCACGTCGGCGAACTGAAACTGACAAGCATTGCGGTTGAATTCCCTCCGAATCTGCATCAGTAACGTGAGTACTGTTGAAAGTCACCGACCAACTGGCTTATCGGTGGTCTTCTAAAGCCTCTAGGTCAGTCGGTATCTGGAAATACCTCGGCGCTACACTGAGAGTCATCGTGAGGCCCCCTCCTTTCCTCCATGTCTGAAGATTAAGTACAGAAGTATTGACCCAATCCTGCCTACAGTGCTGAAGATGTCAGCTTCCAATTTGGGCGAGCAGCAGCAACATTGCGATATATGGTACCATGTGACGCAGAAACTCCATTAATATAGGTTCCATTTGTTCATGTTGGGGTATGAGTGTACCGCATCTTGACACTGGTGACAGTGCCATCACCACGCTCGGCAAAATAGACCATATCAGTGCCACGCATGGGGGGCTACGAGAACAGGTGTATGTGTATACGTTCGTGTGTTTGAGAGAGACAGTGGGCTTGTATTTGACTGGCCTAGCTATCTATCTCCCTTCCTTCCTTCCTCCTCCTCTCCTTAGTTATATATAAGCTCAGTAGCTGTTTTTATAGTAACTTTCCAGTACAGCAGCTAGATATAATAGTAGTTATAATTACTACTTAATAATAAACTATATCTTTCTATTAAATAAGCTAGCTAATAGCTATACTTATTATCTAGTAGGTTTACTATCTTAAAATACTTCTCTATAAAGAAGTTATTTCTACTAAGTATTTTACTTTCTAATTTAAAGAGATTAATTATCTATTTAAAGCTTAGCTCTAAAAGCTCTTTAATCTTTAATATACTAACTACTTTAGTAATCCCTATAAGCTTATAATTACTTATATTAACCTTAGGAAGGCTTTTAATTTTAAGCTATTATAGCTGAGTATTTTTTATTATAGATACTATAGCTACTAGCTTCTGCTTCTTCTTCCCTATTATACTGATATTAAGGTTTAGAGATAGATCGGGTAAGAGTAAGTACAGGCTCAGTAGGATATTTGAAGTTTTAGTAAGAGCTTAAGTGTATATAGCGATATATAAAGCTCTGATAAGAAGTTAATTAATCCGACTGAGTAGCGATAAGTAGTTCTGGTAAGGAGTTAACTGATTTAACTGATAATAAAGGTAGTAATATATAGTACTTAGATTATCTTAGAGTAATAAAAGCAGTAATTTATAAAATAAGCAGATTACTAATATAGACTTAAGCTATATAGTTTATTTAGTAAAAGAACTAGGTTAGAGATAGTAGTTTTTAAATAGATAAAAAGCAGTATCTTAAGATTTATAAAAGAAGTTATACTAATAAAAGAGTTATTACTAGATATAGTCTTTAAATTTAAACCTTATATATAGCTTAGTAGAGCTATTATTAGTACTAAATCTTATATATAGCTAGATAAAAAAACTAAAGTTTAATATATTATAATACTAGATATAATATTAAGTTATTAAATTCTTAGTATTTAGGAATTTCCTCTTTTTTTTTTTTTTTTTTTTT